GTGTGTGTGTGTGTGTGTGAGAGAGAGAGAGAGAGAGAGAGAGAGAGAGAGAGAGAGAGAGAGAGAGAGAGAGAGAGAGAGTCGTTGGCTAAGTTCGGAGCACCGAATTGTGTGGTGGTGGTAGTTCTCATCTCCAAGAAGAAGATAAGGGATGGCGATGAGAATGGATGGAGGTTCAGAATCGTAGTCGTGGTTTTCTTCTTTCAGAGCAAGGGGAAGATTGCTCATCTACGATCTTGATTGTGTTTCCACCGGCTGACCCTAGTTCCCATTCATCAAGTCAAGTTTTGTACGTTTTTTTATAGAAAAAATGTGAAAACGAAAAATGGAAAACGAAATGGGAGGCCAGGAGAAGGCAGCTGAGGTGGGGTGTGGCTTGTTCGAGAGCGAACTTGTAAGGGCGTACTCGCGACAGGACGTTTTTACTTATTTATGGTCGTGATTGCCGTCGGATGCAAAGCCAGATCTGGCCGCAATTGCAGTCAGATGCATTTTGAGAAGTGCTAGTGTGTGTAAGCCCTAAGAGTTGGAAAACAGATATCAGAGGTCGTAAGTTTTCAAATTTTTCTTTTTTATGTTTTTTTCTTAGGCACGCGTTGAGTTGAATTATTTTGACTAACTTGAATTTCACACCTGAATTTGACCCGAATGCGGGTCCAAATCCGTCCCCCGTGCTGATTTTGTACGTCCTTCCTCACCCCTCTTCCCCCTCTTTCCCCTCGTTTGCCCCTTTTCTCTCCCCCCTCTCCCCTCCCCCCCCTCCCTGCCGCCTCCGTTGATGACTGTTCTTTACAGTGATACACAAATCCCACCCTGCTTCTATTAAACCACCAGTACCTACCGGTATCTGCGACCGCTTTTCTTTTTGCCATTTCAAATGAATTCGGACCCTCGCGGCAGTCCCATTCATCCACAGTTTTCAATCGCGTTAACGGTTCGGAGGTCGCTGTGGGTACTGGCATTTTAAGAAAGGCAAATAAGAAGGAATCTGGGCTTCAGAAACGTCAACAGATCGGTCCAGTACAGTGCTGCCTGCAAAGAGCAAGTATTTGGCTGGTTTGGAGGAAGACTTCACGCAGGTGCGGTATCTTGAGTCGCCGCCTCTGGTGGCGTTTTGAAAAAAAAATGGTTCGTTAAGTTCGGGGTACTACACTGCCTCAATCCGGAAGCGCTCGCTAGTTGCCTCGGTCGAGGGGTCGAAGAGAAAGCGCGTGGTAAATCGTGGCCTTGGGATTAGATTAGCATCCCGCCGCACCTCTCAGGATGGGTTTATGGAAGGAGGAGGAGGTGGTGGGTGGTTGGGAGATGGATGAAGAACAGAGGCCGCTCCCAGCCGTGTCCTTGCGTACATGTGCCTGCCCTGCGCTGTTCCCCGTCCCGGAAAGCCGGCCGTTGTCCTGTTCTGCAGGCTGTTTCCAGTTCCATTTATGACCTGACAGTCCATTTTTGGGTTTTCCTCTTTGGGAAAGTCGGCTGGATTCGCCATGTGGTAAGCTGCTGCACGATCTTCCTTTGGTCTCCCTAGCTGCTGAGCTTCCAACTGGATGATGAGCTTTCTTGATTGACGTCAGCGATATATTTATTCGATGCTCGTCTCCGCTTGCTTGTCGCAAGATCTTCCATTTGCAACAGACGATGAACTTTCTTGATGACGTCAACATTATCTATGAGATCATCATTACATCTTATAGTATCTGCCTCAGTCAAGACTGGATAATGATGAACTTTTTTCTTGGTGACGTCAATGTTATCTTTAGATGAACTCAGATCATTACATTACATATTATATTATATAAAGCTGCTGCTGGCTCGTCCTTTGATCAGCTGACCGAGTTGGCGAATGGACAATGAACGTCGGCGGGATCGGCATCATCGACGTTATTCTACGCAATTATCGGCATATTCATTGACGTATCGATCAGGTCTTACGACGCTGTGCTTTGCACTTCTTCTGTTATTATGTAAGGTTGTTCTTCACGATTACCCCAAAAACGTTAACATTTTCGGCATGATCCCATCCGTATCTGTCCGGGTTTGCACCTTGAATTCATATGCTGTTGCTGCGATACGGGGCAGAGGCTGAAGACGTCATCGGTGTCGGAATCTGTGTCAGCGTCATCAGGATTGAAATCGACATCGGCGGTTCGATTGCAACTATACATAGTGCAAATAATCTGCATCTCAATCTTCAGATCTTCGACGGCTTCCGTCTCGATTGAGGTCCGGAGGTGATATCAGCAGAGGATATATATCGGGCTTTGGATCTTGCAGATTTTACCCCCAGCTGAAATCTGGACCTTGAATTAATCTTCCATTTTTTATTCCATCGCCGTTGTCGTGGCGGACGGTGAGGCCTTTGGCAGACAAGCGGGGAATGTTGAAGAATGGGTGTGGGGTCTTCGAGCCTTCAGGAGCTTGCACGTAATGGAGAGGACGAAAAGCTATCGCGGAAGCTACAGGCTGGTGCAGATGTGAACAAACCAGGTCCTAGGAGTCAGGTGAGGGCAGCAAGATGTACACCAACCTCCGAAGATGGAACGCAAAATGAAAAAAAATGAAAGAAATGAAAAAAATGAAAAAAATGAAAAAAATGAAAAAAATGAAGAAAATTTAAAAAATGAAAAAAAATCTTAAAAAATGAAAAAAATGAAAAAAAAAATGGAAAAGTGAAAAACATGAAAAACATGAAAAAAGAAAGTGCTTCAGGACATCCGTTGAAAAAACTTTAAAAATTGGAACGATACAGAGAGGATTAGCATGGCCCCTCCCGCAAGGATGGCACGCATGAATTGAGAAATTGTCGAAATCAAAAGAAAAAAAAGAGAAGAAAAAAAAGAGAAAAGAAAACTGGGGTACCAGCCAGGTTGCCCAGGTCGGCGGCCAGGCCGTGCAAGGGCCAGGGAAGGTCCCAGCAAAAAAAAAAAAAAAAAAAAAAAGAAATCCAAAAAATTCTGCAAAGCAATATGTAGAAAAATAAACTGAACAACTTTCGCCTCAGGGTCACATTGACATTCTATAGAATCTAATACCAAATGCACGGAAAATGAGCGATAGCGAAATGACAGAAATCCAGAATGCAAAATCACATTGAAAGCCAGAAAGTCCAACGCTGTCCAGAAAGCAGAAATGCGCTGATATTACACCAACAGAGAACCAAAGCACCGAATCCGAATGTCAATGAGAGCATACTCTCGCCACCACCAACATATGTATCCAGAGCCGTTCCTCCTTACTTTGGCGCTCAGCGCCCAGACTACAATCCCACAGCCACTACCAGCCTACAAATTGACAATGCAATCTGTTGACGTCAGCAGCAACAACCGAAGTACATGAAGATGTCGACCCTGTGGACCATCCCCAAGACCAGGTACGTGCCCTCACATCATCATCCTCATCTCTCTCTCTCCCCCTTATCTTCTCTACCCACGTCTTCCTCCCCATACCCAAAGACCACCGCCACCTCCACTGGCTGTCCAACCCAAGCCCTGGCTATGTAGGGCTGGCTATGAGAGCAGCACCCTGCCTTCTTCCAGCCCCCGCGCGCACCGCCTGGCAACTAGCGCTAGCGCACAGCGCACAGCCCGCGAGCGCACGCTCTAGCAGCGCTGCTGCATGCACTGCCTAGTGCCCCAAAAAATGGCCCCACCAGTGGTGAGATCTTTCCTTTATGGAAAGTGATCGCCCAGTTGCTGTCTGGCTGGACCTCGTGTGTTTCCAGTAGCTTCCGATCGAGCCAAAGTGTCTGCGCCCACGGCCATTCGGAGAGTGGCCTGGGACCGAATAGGTTAGGTCTGCCCAACCACCGAGGAGTAAACGTGAGGTTCTCTCTGCTTCGCCTGTGCTGCTGGAAGAGCCTAGAGGGGTCACAAATTATTTCTGATTCTCACGAGCACGGAGGATGTAACCAACTGGCGCATGACAACTGTCTGTCGCCCACCAAACTTTGCCAAATTTGACGAACTCAGGCCATATTGAAATTCAGGGGCCTGCCTTCACTTAGGGCAGGCCCATGCTTGCGGAGAGGGCCCTACAGGGGCATGCCGAGGAGCTAACTCGTAACAAGGCCTCGTCGAAGATCCACGCCCACGTGGGGGTTCCAACAGGCTTTGCTTGGGCCCCTCAGCCTGGTCTCATAGCCCTATAAACAGTATCGGACGCCGTAACTTTGTGTGAGGGCATCCGTTTCTCTCGTCTCAACGTCCTCGACTGACAAGGGTTGTTGCTGGCGGTCCTGCACGCCAACAGACTGACGAGTGAAAGGCCTTGATATGTCCTGACTAACACCTATCGAAGAGGCCTGGGAAGAGACCGGGGACATTGCAGGAACAGTAGCCTTCGTTGCCTCGCCCTTGGCTCTAACGTGCGCTGCTGCTACAGCTGCTAGTGCCATCACTGCGTTGGCTGCTGCCACCTGTATGTCTTCTGTGAGACCCTACTCTCCTTAGCTGCTCTCCGCTGTCGCCTTTCCTCGTCTGGTCTTTAACACCAAGCAAGTGGTCGGCCAACAAAGTGCCTGTCCACGGGCAATCCTTCCCTCATCCTAGTCCTTGTGTCTCAACCTTGCTGTCATCTTCACCCCAAAGCTACACATGGTATGCAATCCGAACTAGTGTCCTCACTGGGACCTACCGCAGCGTGGCACCCCAACCGCTTAATAAATCGAATTAAATGTATGGTCCAGATCTATCAGGAAGCAGTCAAGCGGTAACAGCAGATAGTTTCAGACCCCTGCAAATAATTCTACTCCTACTTTTGACTACCGTCTTCCGCCGAACATAACGCACCCTAAAAATGAATGTATACAAGCTATATTTCCGGCCACATGCATCCAAAATGAGGGTGCGTTGCGTTTGGGGGAAGACGGTAGTCTGAAACAGATGCTTGCAGCAAGAATAGACAACTACTCTATCTGCAACAGTCTGTTAGCTGCTAGCAGTCCGTCACAGCTAGCCAATGAAAAATAAAAATAAAATCGTTTGTTGAAATGCATGCTGAATGGAAATATTACAATATTGAACAATCGAGCAATTACTCGAATCGTCCCTCCCCCTATATCCCTCTTGAGTAGTCACTTTGCGTGGACGTCCTGTAGCTCCGGTTCAAACGGTGTGTCTAAAGGTGCGCAATCCGGCCCACACCTGTGCCCCAAGTACCAGACCGGCCAGCCTCGTCCATACTATTTTTATACTCGCGTACAGCACGAGTCGTATATCCCCGCCGGAGTCTCTTTATAGACGGTCCGGCACTCGTCTCTCCCTCATAGGGCTGGCCTGCCCAACATGACCTCAACAGCGCAGCAAGCAGACCAAAGGACAAGCGGCAAAGCATGTGTGTACTAGTGCCAGCGAGTTGGCATGGCGACCAGCGGGTTGGCATGGCGACCAGCGGGTTGGCATGGCGACCGTGACCCGAGTGCTTCGTCCAGGGCCCTTCAGAGGCAACGCCCGTCTCCCACCAGCTTGCTCCCCAGGAAGAATGTCGACTCTCAAGGTTGAGTGCTCGCGACACCTCCCCATGAGAGGACTCTCAAGACAAGTCTCCCTTCCTCACTTTAAGAAGCAACGAACCAGTAACCTGAGGCGCATATATGATGACCAGTCGATGCCTTGGCACAACCCACAATGCAATGCAGTACCACCTTGGCTTAAATTGCCACGTCAGCAAGCTCTCATCATCCAGCGTGCACCCCTATGTCACCACATAGCCTTCCAGGTGAGCCCTCACAACTCTGGGCCGCCTGCACAAGCATTATCACTGGCCCGCCATTTCCCAACGGAGCACCAAACAGCTATTGCGAAGGAACCAGCGGGGTGGTTCGAACTTGCTACTCCTGTAATGTTTTTTTTTTTTTTTTTTTTTTTTTTTTTGGGTCCATCCGGGCAGTTGGTCCCAGGGGTCTGGTCCCACCTATGGTTGTGGAGTTCAGAAAACTCAACGGTGTGACGCCATTTCGACATTAAAATATTCGAAACAAGAAATAAAAAAACTGAAAAAAATGCTAGAAACAGCTTTTCTCCTTATTTTTTATAACGTTACTCCGAGAAATGAAACATGTCTGGAACAGTCGGAGTGAACGTCTCCGTGAAAAAAGGATACTCCCCGTGGTGAGGGGACAGGAGGTCACCATTTGTAAAATGGACAGGGACGACGTGAATGGCCAAATGCATTCATTGCCCAAAGAAGGAAACGAGTTTGATGCCAGACAGC